CTCTCAAACTCCTCCTGGAAATTATCCCGGTGCCAGAAATAACTGGAGAAGGTGAAAAAATGGGACCTATCTATCTCCATCTGCATCCATTTCAGAAACCCAAACAAATTGATTTGGAGCTCGCCGCGGAGGTTGATGCGCACGGTGGTTCATCGCGGAGGAGGGTTTGGCTTCACCGGTGGTGAAGACGGCGATGCGAAGAATGTGGGCCTGATTGCTAGTCATCTCTTTCCCCTGGCAATGAGCCCACAATAGCTTCTCCTCAGGCCCTCAGGTTATCCTGTAAGGCACGGGGCGAGATGGGCCGCCCCAGGTGCGCTGGAGGCCACAGACTCGTTTTTTTTTGTTTTTCTTTTCTTTTTTGCTTCCTTTGATTTACTTTTATTTACAGTACTTCCAAACATTCTAAATCAAATATATTACGTATTACCGAAAACAAAATCAAATATATTACACAAAACAATTTACATAAAACATCTGAATAAAAATATTAACCAAGCGTTTAAAAAATGTGAAATATGTATACAGAAAATGTTTCTAGTGTATACAAAAAATATAGAATGTGTGTGAAAAAAAGTTGATCATGTATTTAAAAAATTAATAAACCTTTGAATTGTTCTAAAAAATCATTTGAAAAAATTTAATCAAGAATTTTAAAATATTAAATGTGAATGGAAAAAATGTGAAAATTTATTCATAAAAATATTGAATATTTATTAAAAAATGTTGAACATTTATTCAAAAACTATTCAGAAAATGTTACATTTTTAAAACTGTTAATCAAGCATATGCAAAATGTTAAAGTGTATAGAAAAAATGTTGACAATGTATAAAAAAATTAATCTTGTAATTAAATTTTTTGATCAAGCATTTGTAAAAAGTGTTAAATGTGTATAAATGTTGATCATGTATTAAAAAATTTAATCTTGTATTTGAAAAATATTATCCAAAGCATTTGGAAAATGTTAAAATATGTATGAAAATATTGAACATGTATTAAAAAATAATATTTTATTTTAAAAAGCTAAAATATGTGTAGAGAAAATGTTGACCATGTACTAAAAAATATTAGACTTGTATTTAAAAAATGGTTAACATGTATTAGAAAAAAGTTCTTGACGTATACAATATATGTAGTATGAAAAAAAAATATTAGACATGTGTTGAAAGAAAAGATGATGAGAACTGAGAAAGAAACATAAAGAAAACCAAGAAACAGCAAAAGCAAACTGAAGCATAAAGAAGAAAATCGGTTAAAAACAAAGAAAATAGGAAACTGAAGAAAACTAATAAAGAAACAAATAATGAAAAAGGAAAGCAAAACCGCACCAAATACAACCAGCGAACGGAAAAAACCCGCAGCAAATACAACAAGCGAACGACCAAACGCGCAACCAGCGAATGCGTGCTCAAAGACTAGGCCCGCAGGAAAGTCTTCAGCGAGACGGAATGTAGCCTCGCTATTAGCAAGATAAAAGAAGAAAATCAATTAAAAACAAAGAAAATAGGAAACTGAAGAAAACTAATAAAGAAACAAAGAAAATCGGAGAAGAAACAAATAATGAAAAAGGAAAGCAAAACCGCACCAAATACAACCAGCGAACGGAAAAAACCCGCAGCAAATACAACAAGCGAACGAACGAACGCGCAACCAGCGAATGCGTGCTCAAAGACTAGGCCCGCAGGAAAGTCTTCAGCGAGACGGAATGTACCCTCGCTATTAGCAAGATACTAGTAAGAATGCACATACAATGCACGTCTCAAACGTAAAACAGGTGAATTCACATAATATAAAAAAAATAAACGTTTTTAAAAATATAAATCAAATGGATACACGATGTTTGATGTCGCTCAAATTGTATTTTCAAAAGCAAGACACAATAGTGGTTATGTTGCTGCATAGAGTAATAGCAGGAAAATATTTTCATTCAAATAAAATCAGCAATTATTTATTAATGCAGTAATATAGGCATGTAGTATAGTCTTCTCTTCGAGTGTAGGCAGGAAAAGAAAGTATAAACTGCCTTACGGTGTAATTATATTATTCAAGATGCTTAATTCTCAAATTTTATTTTATTCTACTAATCTGCATAGCAAAATATATATTTGTACTAATTTGGATCAAATTATATATACTTTTTGGTTGTGTGGACTGCCAAAATTATATAGCTACCTACTATGGATAATAGGAAATAGAAGATGATATATAAGGTAATTCTAATCAAGGGGATGGCGTTACCTCTTGATACGGTCTAGTTTAATGCATATGGTGGTACGAAGTAAAGCCCAAGGAAGCCGACATGAACATGAAAAGTAATCATGAAAAATAGACTCTGCATCTTGACTTTTTCAGTATCCCTCTTGATCCTACTTTGTAAGACAAGATTGCTGCATTCTTATGTACGTGCCATATATAATTACACATTTTCAGTACAGCAATCGGCAACCTAAGATAATCCAAAATCTATAATTCTAGATTGCTTGAAGCCCCATGATTCTTATTTAATATGTAATGCACGTGCACCCACTGAACAGACACTTTGTCGGCGTGGGTGCTGCGAACGGAGCTGAAGTCAACGCGGATGTCGATGGTTGCCGGAGAGCATGCTCTGGACGTGGATGGAGTCGTCGCAGTAGCGGCAGAAGAGCGCCTGGCCTCCAAACAGAAGACGATGGCGGCGATAGCACTGTGTGTTCCCGGAGGAAGATGAAGCTCCTTGCGCTTCCCCCATCGTGGCTAGCATGTATGATGGCGGCAAGCGGCTCGCGATTAGCTTCCTAATAGGATGAATGCGTCCGAGATAAGTTTTTTAATAGGATGGATTTGTCTGAGATTAGTTTCCTAATAGGATGGATGCACTCTGATTTAGTTTCCTAGAATAGGATGCACCCGTGATTATTAGTTTCCTAATTGCTCAGATGTGGAGTTTCATATTTTCCTCCACAGTGGAGTACGGTCAGTCAATATAAATTGCTAAGTGCACACATAAAATGGTTTAGATTAAGGCTAACCATTAGATTGATTTTAGTGGGCCTAATCGTGCGGTGGTATTGGATCTGTGTATGCTTTATGGGGTGTGCTTAAAAAAGTTCTTATTTGATTGTTTAATAGTAATATAGATGAATCTTCTTCCTAAAAACCCCTAAAAGAAAGATCTTCCTCTTAAAAAAAGAGAGCAAAGATATAGATCTGGCGCACTTGGCCCGTAACATATACGCTGCTGCAATGCATCGCCGTGTGTAAACTGAAAATCCCTGCATTCTCAAAAAAAAAAAAAACTGAAAACCCGTTGCAATTTGCGAGTGAGTATTCAAAGTCAACAGAGATCCTCGCTTTCACGGAAGAATTTGGCTGCCTAATTCGGCACTCTCGACACTGATGACTAACTAGCTTAATTATATCAAATGGTACTTTTCATTAGGGTACTCTCAGCTTTGTTTTATTATATTTATTTACGCTGTTATTAGTCTATACATCAGCTTCCGTTATCTTAAGCTCCAACCTCCTGCTTTTTAATACTCATCCGTAAAGAAATATAAGTGTATTTAGGTCAGTACTTTAGACAGAGGGAGTACTAGTTAGAGCATGTACAATGATAGCATATGGATACATATGCCCCATGATAAAAAGTAATTTGAGGTATTTACATTTATTTTTTATCCAATGTAAGCTATCATTAATGGGCCTCATTGAGAAATAGAAAATAAAGATTCTAGTACACATGTATCTCTATTTTTCACTTCAATCTTTTTAGCTTTTGTCACCGGACCACACTTTTTTCTTCAAGCACCTGCCTCCTGAAGAGGATCTCGCTTTCCTATCCGAACCTATTTTACGTCATATCCAATCCTACATGGCATGCGAGACATCACCTTAAAGCTATGCATTGTACATGCCCTTAGCAGCATAGTAATCAACCGCTCAAGTCGTAAAGTAAGCTTTAACCATGTTTTCACTGGCTACTGAGTTATATGCACCCTCTCCGGGTGATGACATCACCGAGGGATTTTTCGATGGCAAGTTGTGTGCTCCTTTTTCCTGCA